TGCAGTAAATTTAGCATTATTATAAATTTTTATATATTCAATTCAATTAATGTTTTGCTAAAAATAAAGATTTATATGTAAGAAAATGTTCTCCTTCACAAAAAATACTAAAATATTTTGATAAATACTATATAAATTTTCTTAAAATTTAGAGAAGGAGAACAATTTGTACTACCTTAAACATTGATTTTTTTATAAATTAGATATTTTCAATTGTAGCCATGTATTCATCAATAATTGCAGTATCATTGAAATCTTCCTGCCAAACCCATTCATTGTATGAATCATCATAATCCTTCCATTTAACATAAAATTTTATTCTTTTTTTAAATTTTCTATGTTTTATAATTTTTTCAACCTCAAAACTATCAATTGCATAATAATTAATAATTATAAAAATTGAATTTTACTTATTTTAAAAATATGGGATGGATAATATTACAAGAACTGAACTTTCAAAAATTAATAACAAATACTGGCAGTTTTTAGATTATAACTACCCAACTAAAATATCAGAATATAAACATAGAGAAGAAATAAAAAATATAAATAATATACAAAAAATTAAACAAGAATTAGTTGAGAAACTTGGATATACTCCTGTATTCTTCTTTTTAGTAGTTATTTTTATAAGATATGATTATAAATGTCCCTATGTATTTTTAGAAAAAGGATTATGTATTTTATATCATTTAATATCAGGAAATTCTATAAGGGATATGAATGATTATATACCATTTACATCATTTTATGCAATTTATAAGGAATTTTGGGAAAGTAATAGAAATGATTTAAACAAATTAATAACAGATATGCTTGAAAATATGTTTTCATCAACGACATTAAGAATACTAAATGCTAAAAAAATTAACCCATTAGGTTTTAAGAATATGACATTATATTTAGATGGTCATGATAGTAGAATTGATTATAATGAAAAAGATATAAAAAAAAGAAATTTTTATTCATATAAATTTAAAAATTCAGGTTTAAGGACTCAGGTAATATATGATATTAATGAATTTGCAATTTATGTATCAGAAAGTAAACCATGCAAGAATTATAACGATGGAAAAATGTTTTTAGATATGAAATTAGAAAATAAATTAAATGAAAATGATTGCATAGCATTTGATGGAGGCTATTATTATTATATAGAAAAGTTTATTGAAAACTGTGAAAAAAAGGGAAATGATAAAATAAATATTAATAACTTTATGTTCCCAATTAGAAAAACTAAAAATATTGAGTTGAATGATAAAGAAAAATTATATAATGAAACCTTTGGCAGTTTCAGGAGTAAAATTGAATCTTGTTTTGGATATCTTGGTAATAAATTTAAGAGGTTTAATAATAATGAGGGTTCAGTAAAAGTGACAGATCTAAAAATTTATAATTTACAATTAAAGCTTTCACTTTTATTAATAAATATTGGCAAATTTTGCAATTATTATAATGTTGAAGTAAAACCAAACCATATTTTATGGATTAATGAAAATTTCGATTACCCCAATCCTTATAAAAATAATTCCATAAATAGTATTATATATGAATTTGATTTATTAAGAATAACTGACATGACTAATCAGCAAGAGGAATATATAAATAATTATTTTGATAATATTGTAAACAATAACTATAATATAAAAAATATGGACATTGAAAGTGATTCAGAACTAGAAGATAGTTTTGAGGTTGAAAAAATTATAAAACATAGAAAATTTAAAAAAAGAATAAAATTTTATGTTAAATGGAAGGATTATGATGATTCATACAATGAATGGGTTTGGCAGGAAGATTTCAATGATACTGCAATTATTGATGAATACATGGCTACAATTGAAAATATCTAATTTATAAAAAAATCAATGTTTAAGGTAGTACAAATTGTTCTCCATACCTTACAAAGAAATACAAAGCACACATCTGTTTTGCCAAGTACAAAGGTAAGAGACAAAAACTAATAAGATGAGAAGAGGATAGGAAAAGGACAATAAGTCAG